TGCACCGACACTCAATAATAAAATCAAAACTGTAAAATTAGAGTCCAGACGAGTTACAGCTGACATAAGTGGCATTATAACTTTCATTTATTATTTTTATAGTTTACATGTTGTGTATATTTAAAGTACCTAAATACATTTTTAAGAGGGCCACATGGTGACACCCAGGCTTTGCATCCACCACCTGGTCGGGGAGTCTCTGTGGGGGGTTTGCATGTTCTCCTTGTGTTTGTGTGGGTTCTCTTCAGGTACTCCAGCTTCCTCCCACAGTCCACAGAGATGCAGTCAGTGGGGTTAAGTTCACTGGTGATTCTGAATCGCCCAGAGGTGTGAATGTGAGTGTGAATGGTCATCAGTACCTGGTACCAGGTATTTCTTTAGTACCTGCTCGGCCGGGTTTCCAAGCGATCTGAGCAGGTAGTAAGCTGATGTCACCGATTGGCTGGTCGGTGTGGTCATTTTTTGTGGTGAAAAGCAAGAAAAATGATTTCCCACAAACCAACTATGGATTGATTCCAGCTCACATTATGTTTCAGTTCTGTTTTACTCATGAAGCAACAGGAAACAACATTCATGTCAAGAAACTTTACTTACAGTGCAGGAGACAAACACCATCAACAGACTGTACAGGTCAGAAAGGGTCTTATAAAGTGACTCAGAACAAACAACTACATGAAGTAAAATGTATTTAATTTAAAGTTCAGAGAAAAATGAATCACTGATCATGAGTGTGATGTTTGCCTGTAAGCGTTCACAGTCTGTCTGATGCTGGTTGGCTGGAACAAACAGATCATCCTGGGGGGGAAAAAAGGGACATAATCTGACTTCAGATCAGCTCTGATCCATTTTACAACTATGATGTTGTTTGAAGCTCGACATGTCAGAGTGACGTTCTGTCCAGACTCAGCTGTGATGTTTTTCTGGTCTGAAAGAGGAAACAACACAGAGCAGAGAGGTCAAAGGTCAAAGTTAAAACCATTCACTTGTACAGCAGCCAATCATGGTTTGGAGCTGCATATCAGCCTGTTGTGTTGGAGATATTCTTAGAACATGACATGAATTTAAAATTCAGCCAAACAAATCCAAACTTTAAGGGTTAGCAATAACAAAAAACAAAACAAAACAAAAACACCAACAGAGCCAAAAACAACAGCTGTAAACAGCTGTAAGCTGTGGTGATTACACAGGATCATTACAGTGAGTGTTTCCCTTTTTGTGCTTTCACAATAAAAGTGTTTAATAGTACATAAAATAATTTACACATATAAGTCAAGCACTTTGAGATTTTAGTGTTATAAGAAACTTGTGCTTTCCATTTTATTAGCACCACTTTGTGTTAATAACCACAGCTTCTTTGCATGGATTGTATAGACATTACATACACACTACTGACACTGACAACACCCAGCAAAACTCTTTTATGCACATTTCTAGTTATTGGTATTTATTAATATTTGACATCTACTTGTTTTTGCAGCTCTGCTGTTTTTATGGTCTACCAAATACATTAAATTATTTAGATCAAGTTAGTTGTAGTTGTTGTTGTGTAACCGAGGACAAGGTATGAGTAAATGGGGCAAAGATATAAATTGATTATTTATTACATTAATTAGACATAAAATTCCCAGTTATTTCCAGACAGGACTTACAACACATCCTGCTGATATCCCAGCTGCACATGAGACTTACCACACCAACGGTGCGAAAATAACAACACTGCAACCCGTCACACCCCGCTTAGCGACACTGCAATCGTGGCACACACTGCAAACAATTCGGGTCTCAGCGCAGCTGGGAATCAGTGCTATGCATGGCCTGCGATCTGGGAGATAAAGGGAAGGGGCACAAACAATTAAACAAAAAACAAAAGGGAGGTTAGTCCGCCCTTACACAACTTACTCTCAATCAATAACCGCCTTTACGGCTGGACGGACTAACCAAAACAAAATTACAAATCAATCAAAAGAACAAAAAAAAAGGACAGCAGAGACAGCACAGCTGAAAAACAAACAACATTATCAATTAAAATATTACCCAATAAAATAGCAATTTTATGAAACCATTCAAAATCATGAAGCTAAAACAAACAATATACCTACAATAGTGTTCAGTTTAATAAGCGAATGAATAATACAGAAAACAGAGATTGGAGACGGAAACTGTTCTCGAAGTACAGAGAGAGAGAGAGAGAGAGAGAGAGAGAGCTAGCTGTGCATGAAGTGTGATTTTAATAGTCGTGGAAGCAAAACAGCCAAATTCATGACGACATTGATCAAATGTGAAGCGCAGTTTGCT